TGTGCGCACCGTGAGATCCACTCTCTCGACCTGCCTTGGAACATCGACCTCGCCCGCTGTGGGGGTACCATCCAACCAGAGGTACCATTCCCACCCCCATCGCTTCAGCCCAATCCCCCCATCTCGGCATCACGAGTTGGATCGAGTCCTGGTGAGTAGCGCCTGCCTTTCCACCATTCCCCTCTTGGGGGTCTTTCCCTTTTCGTTCCCGTACTGGCCCTCACGGTGCCTCATACGTTCGTTGGCCCAGATGCACCTTCCCTCTTCCCACACCTTCCCCTCCCGACTTATAAGCATCTCCATGACCCATCCCCCTCCCGCTCTCCCGTCCCTAGATCATTGCCTCTCTGCCTTTGAGCAGCGTCATATCAGACCAGATCGTCTTGCATCTTTGTTTATTTCTTTTTCATTTCATTCTTATCACCGCCGCTCTTAATTCCTCCCCTGAAGTTCGTATGGTCTTGTCTTCCCGTCTGCCTTCAATCCCCATCTCGCTTCACCCAGCTTCACTCACTTGCTGTCGCTGCCTGATCCACACATATCACCTTCACCTTCTCAACATATATATCTCTCTTCCTTCTCTCACCTCACCATATATCCCCTTCTCACCTCCCCATCAACTCGAAACTGGCTTGACAGCAGTCAACTGACTTCAAACCCTGCCTATCTCAGGCGTGCCAGTCTAAGCATCTGCTCCCATCAGACGCCAACCCCAAATCTTTGAGCTTCTGCTCAGCACAAATTCGCCCAGGCGCTAACCATGGTTACCTCGTTTGTGGCAAACATGCAGCCCCTCTACCGATCTGCTCTATCGGTAGACACACATCACGCTCACAAGTTCTTCGAGGACGACGACAATAACGTGCTGGACGACAACATTCTCGACCAGAGCGCTGTTGACTCAACTCTCGAACTGTCACCTCAGATGCTCGATAGCCGCAGAGAGTCTTTCGCTATTGGAGGTCCTTCACTCTTTTCTCCCAAGACAGACGATTGGCACTCGGTCGACATGCAGTCCGTTCCTTCCAACAACCCCTTCTTCGACCACACCAGCAACGGCTTCATGCGCCCTGAGCAGAACCACACCCTGGCGCCCCAAGCCAATGGGTGGAACCCATTCCCTCAGGTTGACGGCATCCAGCCAGAGTATGAAGCCAGCGCCGCCATGTTCAGGGCCATGCCAGGGCAGACTCCCTTCACCCACCCAGGCAACATGTTTGCGAGTCTCGCATCTCAAGCTCAGTCCATTCCTCCATCACCTCAGAAGGACTTCATTGGCAACGCTCAGATGGCTGGCAAGAAGACCCGACCAAGCAGCCCTGCCATCCGCTCTCACAATGACCTTCGTCGAGGTGATGGTATTCGTAAGAAGAATGCCCGATTCGAGATTCCTGCCGAGCGCAACCTCAGCAATATCGACCAGTTGATTGCTCAGTCTACCGACGAGGCCGAAGTCAAGGAGCTCAAGCAACAGAAGCGACTGCTTCGCAACAGACAAGCAGCGTAAGTTCCCAATCCAATCGTTCACATGGAAATCTGTCATATCTAACACTTATTACTAGTCTTGACTCTCGCCAGCGAAAGAAGCAGCACACTGAGCGCCTCGAGGATGAGAAGAAGCAGTACACCGCTGTCATCACTGAGATGGAAGAAGAGATGAACGAGCTCAAGGCCAAGATGGACCAGCTTCTCCGAGAGAAGCAGAGCTACGTTGATTATGTTGAGACCCTGACTCTGGAGCGAGACGAGATGATCCGATCCCACACCAACGAAACTGGTGAGCTGAGGAAGAAGATCGCCGTCCTCACCGACCATGTCCAGAACAACATGGGAAGCAGCGCCCCCAACGCCGCCAATGGTTTCACCGGCGGCTATGGCGACATGGAAGACCTGACCATGAACGCGCCCTGGGAGCAAAGCACCTTTGTCAACAACTTTCCCATGGAGCCAGAGGTCAAGCAGGAGATGTCCATTGTCCCTGCCAAGAAGACCGAAGCCACCTTTGCTGGAGAAGGCGAAAAGTCAACTGGCCAGAATGGAGGTCTTCTCTTCATGCTCTTCCTCGTTGGTGCATTTGTCTTGTCCAGCCGCTCTACCCCGTCCATCCCTCGTGTGTCGGAGGATGTTCGGGCCGCGTCGGCTACTCTTCTCAACAATGTTCTGAAGGACGCCGGTGTTGGGTCGCAAACCACCACCATGCAAGCCCTTGCTCCTCAGCCTTCTGGCTCATGGTCCGACCCCAGCACTGGCGTTGCTATGAATGACATCATGCCCGACTCAGTGGCTCCCTCTATGCTGGGCGAGCTCGGTGACTCTCTTACTCAACCTTCTCAAGAACAGACTAACGAGCAGATCTTCTCCCTCTCCGCCCAACAATACAACGGGGTCATGGATCAGGACTTCATCCACAATGGAGCTCCAGAGAGGTTCAACAGCCAGGGCCGACGCAACTTGGCCCAGGAACTTGCATCAATGAGAACCGCAATCAAACAAGACGGTGCCGCCGAGGTCTACACTCGTTCCCTGCTTTGGGATCAGATTCCTCGAGACGTTGTACGAAATTTCGCCTCCATGGTCGCGGAAAGCAACAATGCGCAGAATGAGCAGCGCAACGAAGCAATGTCATAAAAATGCTTTTTTGAAAACACAAAACGGAAAGAGAAAAAAAATCAAGGATCACGGAGATGAACTTGACGACCATTGAATGTTTGTTTTTTACGTTCTTGGTCCGGTAGCAACATTGTTCCACGCGGAAGAGTTGCTACCATTTGGCGACCCAGACTTGTTGCTCACGCATGAAACAGTCCTTTAACCACCACTTTTATTTTCTATTCTCATTCAGAAATTGACTAGGGGGTTTATCTCAGTTTCCAGCGGAACTAGCAAGCGAGCGATGATTTAGCGTTTTTGCTTTATTTCTTTAATTTCTTTGGTCTTGTTTTTGGTTCAAGCTATGATGCTCATTATGTATTTCACAAGCACTTGTTCTATTCTTTTGGTATTCTTTTTTCATTATTATTTTTCTCATGTTCTTGTTATCTCTAGTGGAATTTTGGATTTAGCTGCTATTTGTTTTTTCTCATTTGGAGTTGGGGCACCGCCAGCTGCGACGGCACATCAGCAAGCAGACAGAACTCGACAGGCTCCAGTCCGGTTAGCTTGTACATTTTTGGAGGGTCATTGAGGCGAACACCTCTTGAAGGGGATGGACGGCAACAGTGCGTGGCCAACATGAAATGATGGTGACTTGGTTCACCTTAGCATCTTTTTTGGCATTTCTGGAATTTGACGCAATGAAGAGAATGGGAAACGGGAACGACGAACTGGATGATGAAACGATTGTTTTTTGACAACGAATGTCTAGTATTATTTTTTGATTTCTACAGACAAGTGCGTTACAGCCTCAGACTGTCGATTACAGCTGAAGACCGCTACGAGTCTTTTCACATAACATACACCACACTCCTTTGGCCTCTCTAGGCTTGTCTTTTTTTTTGTAGCAGAATGGAATTTAGTTAGATAGCAGACGTGCAATACTGACTGAGATTCTACTCGGCAATCATAACCAGTTCAAAAGCAAAACGTGATGTGTGATTTCCATGCCTTTCTCACTCGGACTTGATGTCGTCTTCCAGGCAGGTAGCAACATGCAACAAAATGTACATCATGGGTATGCCTGCTATTGGATTCCTTGGACACAATACCACCATCGTCCACCATCAAGTGTACATCGGATGCGGCCCAGTCACCAGCACACCTATTATCGGCACATGAGCTCAGGGGGTGAATGGGCAACTGATACGAGTTGGTGGTTCGCCCCCTCTACGTTTGCCTTTGAGACATACCAGTGAGAGATCGCATTGCATCACCTTCGAGGACGGCATGACACCACCTCCCGCTTCGCCTCTCCATGCACCCGTTCCATTGGGAGAGGCCAGCAGGGATGCTCTCTTCTTTCAGATAAAGAGCCCCTCCCCCCTGAGGGTGGGCTCGCACGTGCACGCGATACGATGTGGCAGACTGGAGGAGTGGGCAGGTTTTTCCCAACAAGCAACGATACATTTCCCCAGAGGAGGGTGAGGGGAGGACAGATCAGATTGGCCCTCTGACTGGGGCTACATCGGCGGGTTTTTCTTGATAAGATTCCCTCACCCCGGCCATTGGTCTTATTACCCCGTCCGTCCGTCTCGGGGTGGTGGTGAGGGACCTTAGATCAGCAGTGATTGACCGTCATGCGATGCGACATCCACAACTCACACTTGCCAACCACGGCGTTTTCTTGTGCCGCCAGCCCCGCATTACACTCCGTTTGCTCATATGCAGCCGTGACGCGATCGGGACCGTCTCATTGCTGGGAAATGGATAAATAGGCTTCGCTTTTCGCTGCTGACCAGCATGGAACCGAGAAGAGGGTTGCTTGGCGGCCTGGGGGGAGGGGACCTCACACCACGATCTGCGGGAAACTGTTGGTGATGGGCGCGCTTACTGCGATATTTGATTGTTTTTGGGCGGAGCTATTCGGATCTTCTTTCCCGTACGGGCGTGGATGCGGAAGAGTTGGGGTGGTCCTCGGTAAGGTGAATTTGATATCATATTGCGCGTAAAAGAGTACATACATACACCATCTCCAACATCGAATAATATCTCTCGTCCGAGTAACATGTGGACCCTATCTTTACTCCAATCAATGGATATACAAAAACAAAAGATGTGCATGTTGATCCTGAATGTGAGGTATCACAACCGGCACTGTGTCTCCATTCGCACAGCAGCAGTCATTCGTTATTCGAGCTGCTCGCCAACAACCGGTGACAGCATGGATGTTGATAGGCGGAATTCAACGCCAATGAGAGTATTTTAGAAAGTACGGTGGTCTGACGATGAAGGGGGTATGCTCAAGCCGTCAATCTAGGTCGCGCTCAACGGCTTGCCTGATAAGGTTCACCAACTGCGAAACGTGCAGCAGCCACATACATACGTCGTCCTATAGCAGCTGCTGATCACTTCTTACCGTTGCCATCGTATTTCTCCTTCCAGATCCTGTGGTCGAATCAGTTTTGTTTTTGCTCCCATGATGAACTTTCAGCGGGCGATGCAGTCAGCACCAGGGGGGAGGCCTCTAGACGCCACCCGTGATGCGATAATAAGCATGCCGAAACACCCTATATATAGGGTGCGTGATGGGCCGGTGACGGGGGGGGGGGGGAGAAAGACCAATGGGACGGGACGGGAGAGGGAGAGTGGGTGAGGGCTTACCATGAATTCCCAATAGTCTTGTTTCCTGCTTTCTCGGCCATACGATAGTAGCGAGCTGCTGCGTACTGTTCCGATTGGTTAGCGGTTTGTACTGGGGAGGGGACTTGTGATGGGACAGGGTACGGGGAAAGGGAGGGCGTTGGTTGGATGTATGGCTGATTCAGATCTCGAAACCGAGTCAAGAGGCGAGTGTGTTTGCATACCTTGTCTTTCTTACAACCGTGACCCTCGAGATAGCACCATGCAACCTCGTTCATGGCATCTGTGATGGTCATAGTTAGCTTCGAGAGGCACCATGGTTGTTCCTTTGTGAGGTGCATTTACTTACCGGCGTCCCCAAGGTTGGCAGCAGTCTCATAATACTGCAGAAATGAGAAAAAGAAATCATGTCAGCTGAGACAGGTTATGCCATTATAAGCAGTTTGAATCTTTCTCACTTGTTTAGCTGCAACTGGATCTTTGTTTATGCCCCAGCCGTGGCGGAAGCAGTTGGCCAGCTCGAAGATGGCCAGAACCAGCTCTCCCTTGGCGGCACCTCCTTTCTTTAAACCGGCCTTGAGAGCCAGCTCCTCAATGGATGCTGAGCTTGATAGAGCCGCTGTGAGGTAGCGGACTGCCCCGGCAGGGTCTGGTGCAACTCCCCAGCCATGTCTGCCATGTGTATCAGATTTGGCTCCTTCACACATATTCTGGGGTGAAGAGAAAGGAAGGGGATTCAAAATAAATTACATACCTCAGCGCGAGACCATACAAAACCTGGCTCAGCGGGTTGTTGGCGCCGTTCGGATCCGCCAGCCGGCCAAAGATCCTCGACGAGGCGAGGAGGTCGCCCTCCTCGTGCAGCCTGATGGCCTCCTGGATGTCCTCGTCGATCTCCTTGGACGACACGGCGCCGCCCCTAGACGGCGGCCGCGAGGGGGTCCTAGGCGTGCCGACAGAACTGGAGGGGCGGCTCCTCACGAGCTCGCTTTGCCCGGCCAGCATCATGGCGCGGCTCTCCCACTGCGACTCGTCCTGCGCGGCGTCGCCGCTGCCGACCTGGATCTCGGGCAGGTTGGTGGGCACGTACTCGGACGAGTCGGGCGCCCGGTTGAGGTGCAGGACCTCGGACACGCGCCGAGGACGGCGGGGGCTCGCGGGCCCGTCGGCGCCAGCAGCTTGAGACGAGGCTGCGGAGCCGCTACGGGACCGGCTTCGCGGGCGGAAGACGTCCAGGCTGCGCCGGGCGAGGCTGGGCTCCTTGGCCGCGGAGAGGTGGTCATGGTCGGGGTGGTGAGGGGGCTGGATGTACTCCTGGGTGGTGGTGTCGGAGCGGATGAAGACGAAGTCTGGCGTGTCCAGGTTGTTGCTGTTTCCCTTCTGTCGATGCGGCTCCTGGTCGTCGTCATCCTTCCTCCTGAGCATGTCTCGGAGCCCCATTGTGGTGGTGAGACACGAAACGGTCGAGCTGATGGGCTCAACACTAGCTGGTCAATCACTCGGACGGGTAGTTTCCACTATGGTCCAGGAAAGTCCTGGCAACCCGAATAAAATAGCTCTTTTCGTAAGGCTAGATTCCTAAGTCTTTAGGAAGTCGTTGATGACGTTCAAGAGGGCTGTATCAGATGGCTGCGTATAAGAGTAAGCGCGAGGGGCTGTGCCGCCACGGGAATGCTTCTCAGCTGGCGGCGTCTAAGGTGGCACTATTATAGGGACCGGCAGGCCTGAATTGTAATAGCAATGCCTGGCGGGGCTGTTGGTGAGATTGATTGCGAGCTGGGCGTGAATGCGAGCGAATCAGCTCCGAGCTCAAATAGCTGAGTGAGTTGGAACAAGTGAATGCGGTGGATTAAACGAGATGAGCCAGCAAGATATTCCTGCTCACGGCCACGGCACTGACAGACAACCAAGCGTCTAGTTCAAGGCCTGCTGGTTGTTCTTTCATTGGGCAGAGAAACGGATTCACTTGCTATTTATTGCCGGCTCCGTTTCAGCGCCCAAATTTAAATTTAGTAGAACCACAGGGAGCCCCCGCAACGAATCATCGCCCCCAAGGACCCTTCATCTTTGCCTCGTTGCGACAAAGGCCAGCCCTGGCGCTGAGCCCGCCTGTGTAGCTAGCGCTTATATATCATGTATGGGGTAGATCCGTGATACTAGCTGCCCGTTTGGATACCTGAAGTATCCGTGATGTTTGATGGGATGGATACTGTGTACCTACCTGCCTACCTATATAGAGATTCATCATTAAAGGAACGTGATATTATGAATTACTAGCACACGAGATAGTCAAGTGTCACTGCATAGTTGGGTCGTTATATTGAACATCGTGTTTTTCATTACTATCCTTGTCTGTCTCTTCTTCTTTTCATCTTTCATTTCTTCTGCTCATCCTTTTCTCTCTCGCTCTTCGCGATTGTCTCTGTTGCTAATCTATAGAATAGACTATTCGTAAGGGCACCTATCATATGCTTCTTCTATCACACGCTTGCGTATCCTCTTTTTTTATTCTTTTTCTTTTTTCCCCTGCAAGCTGGCAACAAGACCATCTTCGCACGCATTGTACTGCGGCGGATATTAATGGGAGGGAAGCAAGAGAACAAACAAGGGTCCGCCATGCTATGTACTGAAAATCACTGATAAGGTATTCCAAGAATTGGGTGCTAACACAACCAAATTGTCATATACCAAGCAGAAATATTCATGGGCAGGCTAGACAAAGGAAAACATGTGCTGAGCCATCTCACCCTACTAACAAGCGGTCCTTGGGATGCAGTCACGATCATATGGAACTAGGCTTGATCGCGGTTCTGTTAGTTAGAGGGCTAGGAAATCTTTTCGGTCCTCGAAATCAGACAAGTCCGAGTCCGCGTCAAGAAATTCAGCCACTTCGTCAGAGTCGACATCGTCAGAGTCCGCAGCCTCCTCGTCGCTAGATACGTCTTCTTCCATGGCATTAGACTGGCCTGCTTGCCCACGGAGGACGCTTGCCCTCTCACGGTGGAGAAGCTTGCATCCTTTCGTGTTACAGCGGCCAGTGTTGCTAAAGTCGGGACACTCAAAGACATGGCGCTCTGAACAGTTTGCTCCTTTATCGCAGTAGCCGAGGAACCCAAAGGATTTGCAAACTGGAGCACCTGGTGGTGCGCTAGAGTGAGTAAACGGACAATCAGATTTGGCACAGTGGCCCTTGGCAAAGTGTAAACAATCAGGCACACGCTCGGGAGTAAGCTCGTGGGAAAGATCGCAGGAATCGCCTTGGCTACACTTCCCTTCTTTGAGGAAGTCCCTGCAAACCGCCACCTTGTTGGGGTCATGATTGTATCGACACCGGGGCCCCTTCGGACAAGAACCTAGGCACAATATGTCAGTAACGGAGTGATACATACCCAAAGAAGACCACTTTCCCAGGGCTATCTTATGGTCGCACGAAGGAGAATTCAAAATTACCGGACGCAGAGAAGATCTTGCATGGCTCGTTGACCTTTTTCACGGTTCCAGACCGTCTGCCGTAAAGTCAGTAAGAGAGCTCGGTCTGAGGAAACAACATACCGATGGTCTTTCACAATCCTATTTGCGACGAGGTTGCCTGTCTTGGTTCGGTGAAACTTTACGCCTGCCACAATGGTGTTTTTAGGTGTTTTTGCAAGGTCATTTGACCCATCTGAAAGCAGTCAGCGAGTAAAGTAATGAAGGGGGGGCCTGTGTACGGACCGATGATTTTGGCCAGTTTCTTCCCGCCATCAAGGACCCGGAATCGGATATCCCCAATAGTTATTTCATTGTTGGCTGCACGCGTAGCATTAGAGTTACCACCAGTATTGGCATGCGCATTGTGTTGGGTCAAGAAGTCATGGAAGCGAGCCTTTTCCCCACGACGATGCTCATCTTGTTTGCGCTGTCTCGTTTGTTCCATGGCCTTGGCTCGGTTCTGGCTCTCCTTCTCGTACACATTCGCGTTGATGATCTGGCGGTGACGGTCGTTCTTTGTCACCCAGCGCGCGCTGTCCGAGCCCCCACTATCAGTATCATTATTACTGGAATTCCCTAGAGCGTTAAGATGAAGGGTTCGATGTTGATGCGGGCGAGGCCGCTGAACACGGTTCCCTCTTGTCGGGTAAGGCGCGCCAGCACTTCGATGGTATTGGTGTCCTAAAATCATCCTCGTTAACATACTTCGCGCCGCAGCTTTTTTACTACTGGCCAGACGTACTGTTATGGTAGCTAGAGTTCGCGACAGATTGCACGCCAGCCTGCTGGTTTTTGTGGCGATTAATCTGGCCTAGAGAGAGAAAATAGTGAGAATCGTAGAGAGGCATCGCCGTCGCAAGACGACGTCATGGTAGGTGTGGGTTGAGTCAAACCGGCAAGTCGCCCGATACGGGCCAAGAGTTCCTTTTCTTCGTCGGTCATATCGAGGCTATGTAAAACGTGCTTTGAATCGCTATTGCTTGTCGTATCGGTCAGAAATGAGGTTGGAAGAAAGTCAAGTTATGATCCGGTGCAGGTGTGATGAATAAGAGAAGTCGTGGGGCACTCGCCGAAGCGCTTGGTGCTTGAATTATAGGCTAGCCTGTTTTAGGGCAGGTGCTTTGTTCTAGGGTAGGTGAGTGGGGCACTGGAGGTGCTTTACTGAAAACGCCAACGCCAGCAGCCTCGCCGATTGTTTCCAGAGACAATGAAAGATATCTGAATTTCTAAAATTGCGCCGCCGTTCATCGAAATCTTGTTCATTTTACAACTTACCTTCACTCACACGATTGTTCTAAATTCTTTCTCACCAATTTACAAGCAAGCATCGAACTACCTTTCTTTCTCGACGTCCGCCAGCAGCACGCCATGGCCGACTGGGGCCTCCTCGACGAGAAGGCTGAAGCCGAGCTTCACAAAGCCCGCCTTCTTAACATCGAAGAAAAGCCATTCAAGCGCTGCGTCCGTCGCCTCGCCACCATCACAGACGTCGTCTCCTCCAACATCCCCCTAAAGAACACCGAGCCGGCCGCCGACGCCAACGGCAAGCCCAGCACGAAACCAGATCTCCAGCTGCTGAAGGAAGGCATCACCATTGACTTTGCCTCCTTCGACAGCTCCCTCCTCCGCTTCCAGTTCCTCCACGACGCCAACGCGCGCGAGCGCGAGCGCTACAAGGCCGACCAGGAGCGGATCCTGCTCGAGTGCCAGGCGGTAAGGGAGAAGAACACGGAGCTGCGCGTGGAGCTGGAGGGGGCGCGCGCGACGCTGGCGCAGCGCAAGGAGTTCGACGCGATGGCGGATAAGATCACATCCAACCGGCTACTACGGCCGCGTGAGGATCAGCTAGCCAACCTAGCCAAGCTGGAGGAGGAGTGCAGGGAGCTGGAGCGCGAGAGCGAGACGTACAGCGCCACGTGGACGGAACGGAGAGCACAGTTCAACAGGATCATCGAGGAAGGCATGATGCTGCGGCGGCAGATTAGAGATGAGAAGGAGGAGGTGGACAGACGCGAGGGCATGAACGAAGGAGGCGATGATGAGGTGTCTGGGCAGACGCCGCGGCCAGATCGAAGTCGCAGCCCGTCACCCACGGGCGAGGGCGCGGAACAGGCGAAGAGCAATGCAGAAGGGGAGACGCCACAACCTCCGGGCTCCAACGTCGGCACACCGCTTCGTGACAGCCCGGCACCCTCTCACTTACATCCTGGAGCTGGCTCAGGGCGCAGTCTTTCTCAGGCTGGCAGTCGAGATGTCACGCCACTACCCCTAGAGGAAGGGGAAGACGAAGAAATGGAGGATCAGGATCAGAAAGACTCCAGAGAGGTCACGGAAGTTGAAACTCCACGTATTCATATCGAGGCCGCTGGGGATAAGATGGACGTGGACAATTAGTCCAGCAGTGGAAGAAAAAAATGTATAGGAGGATACCCATGATATTTTAGAGCAATAATACTTAACACCAGAGGCATGAAGCCTAACAACGCCAAAACCAAGTACAAAAAGACGCGTGCATAGGTCCTTGCGGTATCCTCCTCCTCTCGTATGATTTGAGGTCTCACATTGTTGTCACCAATGCCCCATCTGATAAACAACTCTAATTATGTATCACTCCGGCCTTTCCACGATAACTTAAATCAAGCCTCGTTTTGCACTTCCTTAGCCTTGGCCAGCGCATCCTTGGCGTTCTGAAGCTCAGTTTCCGAAGCTGCACCATCTCCAGCAAGCGCTACCTGATCCTCCAGCTTCGCAACGGCATCGGCGAGTCTCTTGCGGAGAGGGTCGAACACGGCTTTGGTTTCGTCGACGGCAAGTTTCTAAAGGAGAGTTCGCACTACAGTTAGCCCAAGGACCCTTGAAAGCATCCACGGGAGGGGAGGAGGGGTAGCTCACCTGCTGCTTCAACATGTACTCGTCGTTGCCATCTTCGCTTGCCTGGCCGCTGGCAATCTTGTCCTCCAGAGTCTTGA